ATTTTCCCTTTTAAAATTTTTTTAGTTACTTTACGGGGGCACGTAAAATAGGTGTCCTCCCAACTGCTTGGCACTGACGTAACAGTCAAGTTCTTTTAAATTACCGTACTTTGGTGTACAAAATTTTTCTATTTTGTGAAGAATATCCACCAAAATATTACTCAATAAAAATATCTCAACAATAAATGTCTACTATGTTTAACATTCCATATATCGACGAAGGTAGAATTTGTAGGCACAACTTATCACTGAATTTCAGCGAAATATCTTAGAGAGAATGTGCTTAAAGAACATTTACGTTCCAACAATATGATGCAACGAGTATGTAGATATTTCGTAGATACTATTTTCTCGACATAATTGCCATAATGGGAGTGGTTGGCGACGTCAAGGCGCCAACCACTCCCATTATGGCAATTATTAAGGTAACCAGGATACTTCGACCTGGACATTACCTGATGAGTTCGAGAAATCCAAAATTTAACTCTAATATATTTGCGTATGTTGAGCATTTTGAAAACTCTATTGGAAATTTTGGTTTTAAAACTTTGACTCAAAATTCCTTTCGGACAAAAATTCATCTTCTTGTATATTGGGAGCTTCGAATAACGCCTCCTACACAAAACAACTTGAGAACCGACCTAAAAATAAAGCGATGAGTTTTAAAGTATTTCGAGAACGAGAATAACATTGGCATCAAAACTTTGGCATAGTAAAGTTTTTAATTAGGAATTTCAAATTGGATTTCATATATAATTGTCATTTTATCTCAGAAAATCCATGCCTAATCTTTTTGATTATGTATATATCTATTTTATTAATTAAAAAACATCTGCTTACCTTAATGTTGCGTCAAATAAATCAACGACTACGTTGAATAGCCCAAGCTCCTACAAAATAGACGAACCGTTCGTCATCACGCACCCCAGTGACTGGTTGAGAAAAGCGAAGCATTTACCCACATTCACGCTTAAACTGATTAGCGATATCACATATTTGATTAACTTTAATTAGAAAACGGTCGGAGAAAGAATTGAGTAATTACTCGGGTTACTTGGAGTCGTTCCCTTGACCCGTCGATATCATGCATCTGGAGAGTATTTGCGGAATGCTTGTTGTTGCACGATGAAGATTTTGCTTGGCATATGGCTAAAAAATGGCAATTACAATGCTTTGATTAGGATATTTGAAATTTTAGTACGTTATTCCTTTAACCCTTTCCATCGTAAAAGTAGTGTGCTTAAAATTAAATTAATTAATTAAATTTATCTGGAAATTGGTAATATTTAAGGCAAACTTTTCAAATAATATACTGCTACTGGTAATTTGTACACTGATGCAGTTTACGTTATTAGTCGCTCGAAAATCGACTTGGTGACGGAGTTATATTCTTTCTGGGAATGAGAAGTGAAGTAGGTAAGCTGACAGAAGTTGTATGTTTTGCGTTGCTTGAGAACACGCCGATACGTTAAATAATTTTTTTTTTCAAATGATTATGGATCCTTGACCGGTCTATGGCCAGTAGAGTTGCCAACTGCGACAAATTTTAATAACACTGACATTAATAATGGTGTTCCTTATGGCCAACTTCAAAAATAATAATTAAGAATGAAGTATTTGTAATATTATAACTTTCATAATATATGCTCACCAAGTTACTTTTGTGACAGATAAAGTTGACAGCTTAAAATATAATTTCCCATCTTGCCAAAATGTCGCTTTTAAAATTTTGAAACGTTTTCTTAATATAAGGTTAAATATTCACGTAAATGAAATGGCAAATAAACTTATTGAAAAACAATAATATGCCAATAAAACTGCAGCAAGAGCTTAATTCACATAGATAATATCATAAAATATATAATTTTATACACTCCAGATTATTAGATGTTCTTGTAACCTTGACATATACCGTTATCCTCCATTCCATGCATGTAGTATATTTTTTTGATATATTTTGATGATGTACACCGTGTTGAAAATTTTATCATGTACAAATAGTTACGAGTTTTTGTAGTGTAATTGGTATTGTCGTTCTGAGCGATACTTACATCAGGAACTCATATCATAAAATGTGTATCTCTTTGTTTAATATTTTTGGTCTTATTGGGTGTGGGTGTTGATTTATCAAGTTAAGTTGGATGACTTTAACCTTAACTTCGTATATGCTGACCATACCGCCGAGCCGAGTCTGTGGAAAATTAATTTTTCAGAAGAATGTTCATTCTTTTTGCTGCTGCGAATGTTTGGTCTGAATTATTGAGCATCGTTTTTTTTTTATTCAACTGTAACGATCGCAGGTTTAAATCACTCAGTTAGGTTCATACAGCGATAGAACTCTGGACCCAAAATGGCGGGGGTGACGTCACACAAGCGCTTATAACGTTACCAATGGTTGTCCTCACTTGTGTTATAGTCACTTTGTTCGTTGAGCATTTAAAACATAATTAATTTAATCACCACTGTCATCCAAAAAGGGACACCAACACTTCATTCTCACTTTTTCAGAAACTCCATCGTTGTGGTGCGCTCACAATGAGATTTTATGCCAAAGTATATTAAATGGCTCGGCATCAAATGTAGATATTCCCTAGGTGTTAAAATAATAGAATATGCACGAACTTTACCAATTTCGGACTTTAAAAAATAGGCAGAAGAATATGCACATCCCATACGGTTTAATACTATATAACCTGCAACAGAAATACATTCATTTCCTGAACATTTGAGGCGTTATATCCTCCCTGGGATTTGCAATATTTGCATTATCAGTTTTTCGCCTTCTAACCCGCATGACCTAACAACAAAAAGCATCTTCTGCGCCTTGCCGCCACACCATTGTGACACAAGAATGACTATTTCCACACACACAGAGTATTCTAGGTCATGCCACGATGATTCTTTTCAATAACCTTGCGTAAGATTAGCTTCTTTTTTATAAAGTTATAATTGAGCTCCTAGTTCAATAGTTTCAACCGTTTAAAACGATAGGGTTCGACGAAGGCTCGCAGAATAGCGCACGGGTTCGGCAGGCTCGCAAAGGTTGAGAACCACTGTTCTAACCATTCTTTGATTTCTTAGGCTGTCACTCTCTGGTTATTTTTACAGGAGAAACTGCCGGTTGTAACTGCATCGTGGATGACCATGCACCATGTGTTATATTTTCTTAATCTAATATATTCCGATTATTCCAATGTACATATCTTCAAAGATAAACATTGGTAGACTTAAACGATACGTGCGTTGTTGTTTAGATATCATCTACCGTTAAATCTTATTCACGATAATTAATTAACCGATTGGTTAACTAGAAAAATTCCAATAAATCGCGAATCACTGTATTTATACTTTCAAAACTCACGACGGTGTATCTTCAACCTCTATACACGGTGTAAAACAATGTGTAAACTGTTGTGTTGTAGCCTACAGCAGGGGTGTGCAAAGTGTGGCCCGCGGACCGAATGCGGCCCGCAAGGGAAAATTGTGCGGCCCGCGGAGATTTGCAAATTTTGATTGCTGTGCGGCCAGCTGAACTAGTTTTTAATCCAGTTTACTCTGGTTCCCCTTGCGTTGCAAAGCTTTTATCCGAGTCCTATGCCTATGACGGTACAACGTCCTAACAGCGAATCGAACAACACAACACATTTGCCGAGCAGCGAACAATTTTCAAGGGAAATGCGGAGCCGACTTAATGAATTTGTGAGAACGGGCAATTAAAGATTAAGCAACTGGAAAGCAGTTTGAAGAATTTTACTATTAAGAGATATAGAAGCTAAATGAGTTTTGGTTCCAGCTATCAGTTAATTTTGTCTAAATCTAATCTAGAATAGAATTTTACAGTAATTATTTGGAAATGAATCTTGGCGTATTTTACCGAAAACACCAAGATAACTTTCCACATTCCACAAAAAGTCATAGCTTCAAATATGGTACTTTTCGGTAACATATTTTTTCCAAATCGGGCGTCATGTCAAACTGCTAGCCCTTCCATTTAAGCAAATTTGAATAAAAGTAGACGGGAAAAGAAATTTCTTACTGAATTCGTTTAAATTGGGCGCAACAATATATTTGTATTACAGTTTTGAGAAATTTATGCGTTTCAACTCATCATTTCTGCAAGGACTCTTAATGCTGACAGGAGATCAATAACAAAAAGACACTATTTTGTGCCTGCAACTAATAGGAAGCCAATGTTAAATGAAGTGCGGCCCGCGGTTTTACCAATTTATTGATATTTGGCCCGCCTGCAAAAAAGGTTGCACGCCCCTGGTGTACAGCGTAAAGATGTTGCACCTGTACATGTGGCCGACGATTTCAATTCACGCAAAATAATGTAATCAATATCAAATTAATCATTTTTTATGAACAAAATAGAATAGTCGATATGCGATGGGCATTTTCACAAACATAGATACGCGGTGGCAAAAATAAAGTCTGGTAAGCTTGTAATAATAGATTTTTTGGACTACATGCGTAAGTTTATTATATATAGCAATTTGAAGAAAGTAATCGAAATAGCAATTGAATCCTTTACACACAGTGTGCATCTAATTGAAGATACGTTTGTATTCGAAAATTGATCATGGACTCCGATAAAATAAGACTAAAACAGGGTACATATACATTTCATATATATATGAAATATGTTTTGCTGACTAACTTTAGTCCGGAATCAGGTCCCGTCAGAATAATATGTTGTTCACGATTTTATTGCAAGAGCGTCTATTCAGTGCCATTCAATAAATGACCATTATGTAAAAGGAATATATTAGTAAAGCGTTTCCCAAACTTTTTTAGCCACGCAACAATTACACTTTTTATCTCGCCTTGCGGAACACCAAAAAATGAAAGAGTAAAAATGATAAAGAAAACTTGTGTAATGTAAACTGGTTCCCAATGGGTTCTCGTGGCAAGTTGCTGAATGCGCCGCGAAAACTAACAGAATTGTGTTAAACATACCTAAAATATGATTAAATATTTTACATAATGCATTTCTTATGTTTTTTTATTTAAATGCTGTGTATAAGAATCAATGCATTTAGTTAACCATTCTATGTCGTTTACTTCCAATACGTAGTGTTCGCCTCTAAAGTTACGTCTAATGGAGATAGAAGTACCCGCTGCAAGTTCGCGAGCTGCAGACCTGCCGTTTATTTATCTACTGAATAGAGTTTAGCGAAAATGAGTAATTTTTCAGCCTTTCAATGTAAAACCATCAGGCAGAGATGGAGGAAGAAGAGTTGATCTTTTGCCTTTATTCCTTTAGAGTTTACCCTACTTGTTTGCCTATAGCAAAATCAATAGCATTGCAGTAAACTTGATAATGAACTTAACAGTCAACAAGGTCGATGGTTAACGAAAATACTACTACCCCACCCTAGTTAGTCCACTTTAGGCCGAATGTGACGCGATATCGAGCGGTCAATTGGGCGACAACTTCACGTTCCATAGATCGCCATGGCGGACATTTTAGGCGTATTTTTGATTCCTTTCACGGAACACTTCGAAGATGCTCGTGGAACACCTAGTCACTTTGGGAAACGCTGTATTAGTATATCGACATTCTCGGGAAGTAGTGACGAACGCTTTTATTTCAAAAAAATATATATCCGGGCGTGTTGAACACGATCTCTGATTTACAATTCGTATCTGAGGTTACTGGTTGTTGTTGATATGAAGCACCAGTGGGAATTTGGACAATACTGAAGTTTTCCTCCCCGGGACGTCGTAGATTACGAAATATTGCATTAATATTTGAAACATATTCAGGGCCTTTTTGTTGAAGCAAAAATTCACATCTAAAAATAAAAACACTTTTATTATTACAGAAAACAAATGAATATTTAAAAAGAAATCAAAAACTCATTCGGACACTTACCGTGAAAAATATTTGGCATGTTCAATCCATGGATTATCTTGAAAGTCCCAGTTATGTAGTCCCCCATTGCAATAATAACATTTACAGCGGTCTCGATCATCTGTTCAAATAGCCAACTAATTATAATCTGCTATGTTTATATAATAAAACGCTGGACCTCCTGAAGTATGCGCACCACGATGGTGTACAACCTGAACTCAGGTTTTGTTTCAGGTAGGATTCAGGATACGCGACATCTTGGAGCGCGTACTTCAGGAGTACCAAAACGCTTTTACTAAACTAATACAAAAGTATGAATTGCTTTATTGAAGGGCATAAAACCTTGGGTGTGTCTCGGTATATTTATGTGTTTGATCTACTTTAATAAAAAGTATTCACCTAAATAGAAGAAGCCTGCATCAGCGAGTTGCTCAGATGTTGCTTGTATATGTCTTGGCCAGTTTTCAAATGATTGCAATCTTGTTGATCGATTCGCATAAGATGGATTGGTAGGATTATTACATGGAAAAATATTCGCAAAATCAATTCTGAAAAAAATATCATTCATTAAAACACTAATAGAGATAGAAAGTACAGAGTATGACGCCATTTAAATATTGTGGAGATAATAGTTTATTGCTCTTCAGTCTTCACATATACTGCAATGCATTTGTAATAAATTTTTACACTTGTATCAGTATTATGCCAATTAGTCCCATAATATGATGAAATATTGAGTTTATATGTACCCTGTTTTGGTATTATTTTATCGGAGTCCTCGATCAGCAACATAAACACTGCGGTTTATAGATGTTGACATTCATGTAGATTGTAGACGTTATCCATTGATTGCAATTGCAATTGCAAAATCTAAAAGTAATCTACCTCGCTTCAAGATCGTTCGACTTTAAATGAAAATCCATTCTTGCTATTTCAGAATTTGGGAGCAGACACTCAAAGTATAATCAAAGACACTAACCGAGGATAGTACTGAAATAATAATGCACTGTACCAGAAAAGTCAACTCGTCGCACTGTTATATTCGATTGTTTCTAAGAGCCGTTTGTTCAATCCTTCCGCTTTACTGAGGGGATTCACTCGGTATCTGATAGATAAAACGCCGTTAACTGTCTCGGTAATTGCGACGCGTATCGCGAACTCCTACCCTTTAGCATGCTCGGCCGAAAACTTCCTGGGTATAATCGTCGCTATACATATCTACTTATTCATATATAAATGATACATTTTCCCTTTTAAAAATTTTTTAGTTACTTTACGGGGGCTCGTAAAATAGGTGTCCCAGCTGCTTGGCACTGACGTAACAGTCAAGTTCTTTTAAATTACCGTACTTTGGTGTACAAAATTTTTCTATTTTGTGAAGAATATCCACCAAAATATTACTCAATAAAAATATCTCAACAATAAATGTCTACTATGTTTAACATTCCATATATCGACAAAGGTAGAATTTGTAGGCACAACTTATCACTGAATTTCAGCGAAATATCTTAGAGAGAATGTGCTTAAAGAACATTTACGTTCCAACAATATGATGCAACGAGTATGTAGATATTTCGTAGATACTATTTTCTCGACATAACTTGACCAAAATAGGTAATTCTTTTTCCAGGTATACTTTTCTCTCCTTATGGGCGTTAAAATTCGGATAGAAATTACAAAACATATCAAAATCCGATTGCAGCACTGCAATACATCTACAACTGGCCAATGGATAATGCATCTTATGTCCGATCTCGATTTCGGGCACTTGAAGCTCATAGACAAATTGCATCCATCGCAGGAAGAGAAACTTTCACAAGAAAGCGCTATTTTTCACTTAGCCATCTCCAAAGTGCTAAATCTTTAATATACGAGCTATATACTCATTGTGAAACGAAATGTATCGATTTTCTACGCAGGTATACATTTTTTTGAAACTTAGTTTTGCTTGAACTGGGAATACTAGTATACTTTATACTTAATTTATACGAATGCCCACATTCAAGGACTGCATTGTTATATAACGAGATATTCCAGACATTGAAATATCAAAAGATAAAACTGAATATTTTATTCAGAAGCCAAATAATTGTACCAAGGAGACACCGCCAAAACCATTAGCAATGGCTCTGTTAAAGTACATGAATTATCATCCAGTAATACAAGTTTTTATATGTTTGTCAAAAATCAGCGAACAAATGGTCTGGTCCAGGGCTACTCAACTGGCGGACCGCGGTCCGAATCCGGACCTTTCGAGTATTGGATTTGGATCGCACCTAATTATTTATTTTGGATCATTAGCCCCACTTTTTTAATTTCCTATTATAAAATGACTTTCATAGTTTTGAATATATACGAAAATAACTATAACACCATAATAAACAATTTTAATTTGCTACTAATCATTAGTCGGTCGAGGAAGTGCTCGTTTAAGGATGCCGAAATATTATTTCTGGAAAGACCGGACCCAAATAATTTTGAAGTTTTGTTTGCGGAGGCGATTTGGAACTCACTTCTCAAATACTTAGCCAACTCGAAATAAGGCAAAAATAATTTATAGTTTGCCATCCTCTGGACATGGACAAGCGATTAATATTTTTTTGTTATAACCGACCAGGGCACGCTAGAGTTAGGAATCATTTATTGTTCCCAATAACAGATAACTATTCCCGAACTTCTTATACCAGGGGTTCCCAAACCGCGGCCCGCGGGCCAAATCCGGCCCGCGTTACAATTTAAAATGGCCCGCCGAACTTGAGTAAAACGATGTTGTTATGTCATTACCACAGTTTAAGCACGTGTTTATCGCGTAACAATTCAATTATGCCGATATCTCAATTATACGTACCGGTATTACCGTGTTTCCCCAAAAATAGAACAGATTATTTCAATTTTCTTTCGAAAAATATAGCTAGGGCTTATTTTCGGGGCGTGTCTTTTATTTTCATGAGTCAAAAAAAAATTACAAAGATTTTCAAATATAAAAAATATGAAAACCAATATCCATTTACTTAAATGGACGTTTCCTCTTTCACACTTGTTAGATTAATCATTTACAACGTGTAGGGGAGATTTCCTGCTATCGACTAGGTGCTACTGACTATACGTCTTATTTTACGGTGAGGCTTATATTAAAATCATTCTTAAAATTCAGGCTAGGTCTTATTTACGGGATTGGTCTCATTTTCAGGGAAACACGTTGGATTACAAAGAGCAGTAATTAAGTTATCAGCCCTATAAGAAAGCTTACAGATGTCAAAAAAACAAACAAAACTAGACTTTGCAAATAGACGTTTCCGGGATAAATGGTAGCTTTCATATTTCTGTATTGCAAAGAATCAAACTTCAGCGATTTGTCTTCCTTGCCAATGAAATATTCCAGTTCTGAAGGAATACGACATTAAGCGCCATTGTGAGTCAAACAAACAGATTGCAAAAAATGTCAAATGAAAGTGAATCCACTGAACCCCAACTAAACCGCCGCGAATTTTCGGGCGCTGAACTCTTCCGGCCCGCGAACATTCTCCCGATTCTAAATTTGGCCCGCGTCCAATGAAGTTTGGGAACCCCTGTCTTATACATTACAAATCCTGCAATCAAACTAATAGTAACCAATCAAATTAATTGTCACACTTAATGGGGCATCCATTTTTAGTCTTAAAATAAATACCCCACTTCGATTACGAATATATTATTAGAAATTTGTAGAATCTTATCCTGCTTTTATTTAATAAAATTCTGACGGAGTTTCTTGGGTAAAAGAAAACTGACGGCGTACAAATAGAATTGTTTGGAAATGACATATTGAAAGTATTTAACTGCTAATATCAATCTCTAGTCCAAACAATACCCCTGTAAGATATTAAGTCAGGTACTGGAACAACATCTATCACAGTAAATGATAGAGTAACCGTATTGGATGCCGTTCTTAGAAACGTATTTCTAAAAGGTTAATATGCTACCTGACCTTAAGTGCACTTTGTTGACAATGGCAATGATACAGTCATTACACAATTTCAATTTTCAATTTTTCCACCAGGTATTATTCTGAAGAAGAAGACATTTTAGAAAGTCAAGACGATGAAGTTTCGGAAGGTTCGTACTAATTTGTTTATTGATAGATTTCAGTGAGATATTTTGATTCAATCAAACGATAACGTATCGTCTATACCATTTTATTACTTCGTACGTATGTATGTATGTTTATTTGCCTCAAAAATGTAACAGTATCTGCATAATAGTTAAACGGTATAAAAGTATAAAAGAGACTGGATACATGTTAAAGACCTTCAAACTTCAACTTCTACAGCACCACCTAGAAGACGAGGGGGTCGTTCTGCAAGGATAAGGCGGCATTCGCCCGTCTTAAACTGGACAAAGTTCTTTACTGGGAGGACAATTCGACCCTTTGGGGGACAAAGACGGGTACGCAATCGCCAATTGAACGAAACTCTTGTCCGCATAATAATCTGCATAATAGTTAAACAGTATGAAAGAGACGGGATACATGTTAAAGACCTTCAACTTCTACTGCACCACCTAGAAGACGAGGGGGTCGTTCTGCAAGGGCTAGGCGGTCGTCGACCACGAGATCGGGTGGCATACGCCCGTCCTAAACTGGACAAAGTCCTTTACTGGGAGGACAATTCGACCCTTTGGGGGACAAAGACAGGTACGCAATCGCCAAGTGAACGAAAACTCTCGTCCGCATAATAATCTGCATAATAGTTAAACGGTATAAAAGAGACGGGATACATGTTAAAGACCTTCAACTTCTGCTGCACCACCTAGAAGACGAGGGGGTCGTTCTGCAAGGGCTAGGCGGTCGTCGACCACGAGATCGGGTGGCATTCGACCGTCTTAAACTGGACAAAGTCCTTTACTGGGAGGACACTTCGACCCTTTTGGGGGACAAAGACGGGTACGCAATGGCCAATTGAACAAAAACTCTTGTCCGGAGACTTTCTTTTTTCAATTCAACTGTAGTTGGATTTATTGTCGAAATGACGAAAATCAACGCCGTTAGCAAACTCCAAGATGAGTCTTCACAGATTTGTTTTATTTTTGTGTTTAAAATAAAGTTAGATATAGAATTATATTTATTTTTATCAAGACAATATCGAAAGCCGTATGCTAATTTTATGATTTTTTTACAGCGGCCGCCGTTGCAACAAGGACTGAGACAAAGGATTGGCGGCGGAAATCAATTGTTTTCTTGGACTAATAATATTTATGGGAATAATTCTTCTTCCAATTGTCGATTTTTATTGTCAAAAGAAGAACTGGCTGCTAGATATTCCCTGCTTCAGTGAGATCATGACCAGAAAGCCATGAAGTACTTGCATCTATGCGACGATAGTTCAGCACCTGATGCTGCAGATCCTGACAAAGACAAACTTTTCAAAATACGGAAATTTTCGTTGCTGATTTTGCCACTCTTTCAAAGTGAATATTCAGTGGGCCGAGAAATATTAATTGTAAATGTACTTTCATCGCGTGTCGTAAAGTACCTTGTCGATCCGTTTGTCGGAATGAACCACCATTTATATGTAGATAATTTCTACACTAGTCCACAACTTTTCGAATATTTGCTATCTAAGGGGGTCTTCGCCTGCGGCACATGCACATTCCGTGCCAATCGCATTGGCTTTCCAAGGAAATGATCATCAAAAGAATAAGTCCTATTTGGATTGGAAGAATGGCTGGGGATTTGCTAGCCCAGTCATGGGTCGACAACAGAGCGGTCTACTTTCTGACGACAATTCATAGACCAGAATATGAAAACGATTATTCTGGAAGCAAAACTGAAACGTAAAGGAGGCCGTGGTCGAATTCCATAAAGATGCGCTGAAATTCCATGCCCCCTGTACCCAAAGACTATAATACTCGCATGGGGAGCGTGGACGTATCGGATCAAATGCGGAAATACTATAATTTGACCAGACAGTCAAGAGTCTGGTATAGACGGGTATTTTCCCAATAGCCGAAAGCGTACAAGGAAGGCATCTGGACGAATTTTCGTTCCGGATGTCTATAATAGCCCGTCTGATTGGGAGTCATAGGACCTCGCGACGCGTATCGGGGTCCGGCTCCTTTCAAAGATTACAGAACGTTGGCCGGCACTTTCCTTTGTTTGACATAAGGCAGGTGGTTTGCCCAGTTTGTTTCAAGAGAAATCAAGTGGCGTCACGAGGCAGTGATGAAAAATCTTATGTTTCGCGCAGCCGAGTCAAATCGCCGAATGCGATGTTCATCTTTGCGTTCTAGCAAACAAAACTTGTTTTACAGACTGGCATACTAAATTAGAATACTGGAGATGGATTTATTCTAATGTTTTTGTAAATAGTGTTTTCTTTGCGCTTTTTGTTCATTGTATATTCATTTCACATTTGACATTTTTTCTTTTTTGTTTGCACCAGTGTTTGTGTTCTTTTCTCTTTGTTTTCACTTTTGTATTCAATAAATATACCATCATCCTGTCAATAAGTCTAATAAAACTTTGTTGTTTATTGTGCCTCAAGTCGGTGCCAGCCAGTTGCGCATGCAGCTGTATATGCAAGTGCGCATGCATTTGCAGTTGCACATCGCGGAAGCGCGAGTCGTTGGCGGAGATAAAACGTTTCGTAGTTTTCTACGTCGGGGAGAAAACTTTGTTCTTCTGTCTCATGGCACGCAATAACTCATGAGTAATGAAGTACGAACTATGCCAAACATGCATGATCGACTGATGAAGTCTTCAACGTTGCGACCGGGGTAGGTCAGATACAAAACAAAGTTTACGTCACCGGGAAGAATGTTATGTCTTTATGTTTCATAATTCAAAGCGCGCAATAACACATTTATGAGCAATAAAGTGCTACCTACGCCAAACATGCATGGTCGATTGATGTTCTCAAATATTTTCGGCTAAATATTTCAGACAGGAAACAAACAAAGTTTACTTCAACGGGAAGAATGTTATATTTTTGTTTCAAGATAGAAAGCGCGCACTAACTCATTTATGAGCAATCAAGTGCGAACTACGCCCAACAGGCATGGCCGAATGCGTTCGTTGATGCGAAGGAGTGAAGCATAAACTTCCGTAGTTTAATAACAACTTGGCTTACGAAACTGTTTCCAATTTATTTTGTGGCAAACTCTGATCACAAAACGATGAATGGAAGCGTTGAAAGCACAATTTGAAAATTTTAACCTACAGGAGCCATGAGGTAAAGCAAATCAAAAACATACGATAGGAAGTTATCGCTTTTATCGAATAAGCGAAATACCACGTAAATCCTTGCTCAGCAGCGACGCCTAGCGAATAGATTTATA